AGAGAGAGAGAGAGAGAGAGAGAGATCTTTCATGAATCTTTTCTCCCTTTATTATTGTTTGGAGACATTAGGCTTTTACTAAGCACCCTGTTTAGATTGGGCCAATTTAAGACATACTTTCATTCAAATTGCCAGAGATCACAGGACTTTCCTGCCAACATAACTAAGGCCTAGTCATCAAAGCCATGTGGTACTATAGTAGAGAAAAGAGAAAAAGCAAAGGCCCCAAGATCTGGAAATGTTTTCTAGGCCACTGCAGAGACAGTGAGCCGCGCAGAGGTGGGGGCATCATCCGGAGCCTGCCTGCACCTGTGTGGGGCTGCCTGCAGCTCAGCTGCTCCCAACATGAGTGGGCTGAGGAGCTTTATTCTCTGAGCCAGTTATATGCTCACTTTGGTGAATAAAGGAACTCAACCACTTAGGAGGGAAGAGTGTTGCCCCTAGAAAGAAAGCACAAGCAGTCTTCTAACAAAATAAGGGGCAGAAGTGGACATTCTTTTTGTCCTAAGTGACTTCCAAGCTCTCTGCAGACTCATCTAGAAGTATAGATGGGATAATGCAGGTAGCTTTTCTGTAGTCCAGGTAGAGGCCAGACTTCCTCCCCAGCAGACCACAAGCAACCCAGGGATGGGCACCTGGGGCTGGGATCCCATGAAGCCCCTCCCCCTCTCTGCCCCAAGCCTTTTACTTGCAGAGGGCAGGTAGTGCCCAGCCCAGCACTGGCTGGAGACAGATGGTGCAGCTGCGGGGTGGGACCTTATTTGGAGGCAATTTTTGATCTCTCCAAAGGGTAGGTTGTGGCCTTTGTCCAGAACCACATCTAGAAGGCTCCTCATCACCTGGAGGCCAAGGAAGCTAAGTCAGAGCAGATGAGGCTGATTGGGGAATAAGACTTCATGCATCACTCTCCTTCAGACAAGCTGAAGGTCATCCAATCACTCTCCAAACTAGATGTTCCAATTTATTCCCCATTAATAGTTTCTAATTGTCCATAAGGTACATCAACATTAGAAAAATGTCAGATCTTTCAACATTTTTTCAAGATGATGGTATATGGCATCATTTTGGTGAATTAAGTATTCATTAATTTGCATTTCTTGTGAATGTAAATGTTTTTCTTACCAGCTCAGTCTGCGAGCCATGGGGTATGACTAAGGAGTTTAAAGGCCTCATTTATTTGACAAAGGGAGATCCAAAAAGAGATGGTGGAATAGATCTTATAACCCAAACCACAAACTCACAGCAATAGGAAGCTGAGGGGATTTTTAAAGCAGGATTCAGTTTATAAGAGTCACACAGAGGGGCTGGGATTGTGGCTCAGCAGTAGATCACTCGTCTAGGCCCTGGGTTTCATCTCAGCACCACATAAAAAAAATAAATAAACAAAATGCGGTTTTGTGTCCAACTACTTCTAAAAAATAAATATTTAAAAAAGAAAGAGGGGCTGGGGATGTGGCTCAAGCGGTAGCACGCTCGTCTGGCATGCGTGCGGCCCGGGTTCGATCCTCAGCACCACATACAAACAATGATGTTGTGTCCGCCAATAACTAAAAAATAAATATTAAAATTCTCTCTCTCTCCCTCTATCACTCTCTCTTTAAAAAAAAAAAAAGAGTCACATAGATATCTGTCTCTCTCTTATAAAGACATTTGACCCCTTGTTGCTCCTCCACACATTCAATTTTTATGAAAAAAAATTAAATACCCAAACACATGATAACAGCTGATTCTATTCACTACCCAACATGAACAAATAGCAGCATTCTACCATGTTTATTTATTATCATTTTTTAAGATGGGAATGTTGCAGAGTTAAGTTTCCCTTTGTTCTTATGCATAGAGATATTCCATTCTGACTTCCCAGAGCCAGGACCAGGACACCAGGTGTGGTTTCCATATGTGTGCCTCATATGCATGTATTAGATGCTTGGGCTCTTCCAAATTTAAATTTATGCAAAAGGTTCATACTGTAGGAGTTGAAAATGGAGTTCAACCGTGGTTAAGATTACTGTGATCCACTATTCCTCTCCAGTATCAATCCGTCTTCCTCACACAATGATGGAATCTCAAGAGGAATAAAACTATTCTGTGCAAGCTAATCCCTGCTGCTAAACTCTGTTGGCTGTGCAGACATAAGGCAACAATGAGTTCATGAGGAGTTATAAAGCATTGGCAGGCCTGAGCCAACCCTCTCTGAGCATTGGCCCTAATGTTAGCTCTCCAACTCTCCTGAAAACCCATCTTCTGAAAAGACACAGTACAACAAAGGAAGAAAATCCTCAACCTGCATGCCTACAGCAACTGCATCAGACACATGATTGCCTTAAGATTCCTGGAGACTACAGATTTCTTTTCAATGAGCCAGGGTGGAAAAAGAGAAAGTGAAAGCCACATGTTGTGGTCTAGACTAGTACTTCCCTGAACTCAGGAGATTTGCTCCTGAGATTTTTTTAATACATCATGGAGTGAAGACTCAGAACCAGAGAGACTCTCTAAAGACTGCATCATGAAGAGTGGAAGAGTATGGTCATGCTCTGAGATTAAAATAAAAGAGTAGAAGAAATGAGGCTTGATTTCCTGCACCTAAATTTACAAATCAAATAAAGACCCCTTTCTGCCTTGAGGAAGTGATAAAACAGGGCAGAACAGCTCGAAGTGTCCTCTGCATGAAAAAACAGAGGAAGGCAGAAATAACAAACCCCTGTTTTTTCATTCTTAATCATTTAAGACTTGGCCATTGAAGCTTTGACTAATCTGTGAAGTAGCTAATACCCCCTAAAAACTCCTGTTCTTTCTTAATGAGGCCAACCTCCTGGAATGAACATGGCTTTCTCCATGTTTTATGCGAAAAACAATAGACCATAGCTTGCAATTACCTCCTAGGAGACTCTGAATGACGAAGGGTTGCCATTTCACTCTGATGATTGTCTCCTTTGCAAGATGAAGATTTTTGGACTGGGTGCCATGGCTCATGCCTGTAATCCCAGTGACTCCTGAGGCTGAGGAAGGAGGATTTTGAGTTCAACCAGCCTCAGCAAAAAGCAAGGTGCTAAGCAACTGAGACCCTGTCTCTAAATAAAATACAAAGTAGGGCTGGGGATATGGCTCAGTAGTGGAGTGCAGTGAGTTCTATCTCAAGTAACACCCCCTTCAAAAAAAAAATTTGTTTTGGTGTAATACAACTTGTCCTATTTTTGCTTTTGCTTCTTATTCTTTGGGTGTCATATTTAACATGGCTAGTAGATATAAGAGAGATCATTTGTCAAAAGGGTGTGGGCAAATTCAAATTCTTGGTGAATGCAACTGTTATAGAAAACAGCTTGGAAGTACCTCCAAAATTAAAAATAAAACCAATATATGATCCAGCAATCCAGCAATCCCATTTCTAGGTATATATTCAAAGGAAATAAAATCTGAATCTTAAAAAGAAAAACAACAACAACAAAAAAAAAGGTTCATACTGTAGATAGATGTGTGGCAACTTTTTTCATCCACCATTATATTTTTTTTTAGATTTGCTTACGTTAAAACATGTAATTCTAATTCATCTTAAATGTTCCAGGATGTAGACATTATGCAAGTACCTTCTACAACTTAGTCCCCGCTGAACACCATCTTTCACCACGACAAATATAGCTGCAGTACAAATCCTCATGAACATCTCCTTGTGATGTCATTAAGGTATATTTATATCAGAGTAGAGCTCCTGGAGACCTGGGCTAAGCACACTTTTAACCATGCTACCATCCAATCACTCTCCAAAATAGATGTTCCAATTTATTCCCCATTAATAGTTCCTAATTGTCCATAAGGTACATCAACATTAGAAAACTGTCAGATCTTTCAACATTTTTTCAAGATGATGGTATATGGCATCATTTTGGTGAATTAAATATTCATTAATTTACATTTCTTGTGAATGGACATTTGAAGATTCCACTTTCATAAATTCTCTGTTCATCTTCTTCGCTCAGTTTCAAATTGGGTTGTTAAATGTTTTTCTTACCAGTTTATAAGATCTTTTTCTATTTTGATTACAATTATTTGTCATTTGTATTGCAAATGTCTTCTCCAAATCAAGTCAATTGCACACTGAGTTTCAAAATGCAAACTGTAAGGTTTTCTGACACTAGCATCCCCGAAAGTCATAGGATCTATAAACATTAACAAAACCTCAGAAGTCATAGCCACATAATTTTCACACTTGAGGAACACTTTATACTTTTCAAAGTATCCTTTAATCATCTAAATTCAGCCTCATAAAAACCTACGTGGCTAGCAGGGGCTCATTTCCTCACCTGTGGGGAGGAGGCATTGGTCAGTAGTTGGTCAAGATCCTTTTAATGATCTAGGTCTGACCTGTTATTCCAATTTGGCAGCTGGGACAACCCAGGCCCAAAGGAGTAAGAAAACTGTCTTCCATCACAGCCCTGTATAAGGTGGAGAAGCTATACCTTAGTCATCTGGCCCCTTATACAGGAAGTGAACCGTCTTCATCCACACAGGAGGAAGCCTATCCAGTGTTTCTGCCCCAGAAGAAAAGGGTCACATGAATGCAAGGCACTTTATTCAACCTTTTATTGAGCACTAAGTTTACCGGCACCTGAATATATTAAGATTTATACCATCTGGAGATGATACCAGATTTCATTACTAAAGGGAAGTTTCTATTAGAGATGAAAGAGGCAGAACCCAATGCTTTTTAAAAATTATTATTGTCATTACATGCAGAAACATTGATTTGTTGAGAACAATTTCCCAGTATAAGACAAAGCTTCACCATAACAATGGCTAAAACCTCAGAGATGGAAACACCCGTGGCCACCAGCCTGAGATGCTTCAACAGCTCTGTGGCCTGACCCAAGAAACCATGTGGGCAGATGATCTGGTGGCACCACTGGCCTCACCGTGTCCAGCTCAGTCTCCTTCTATTCCACAATGTGGATGGGAGGCTCAGGCCAGCCTGGAAGTGTCTGATGGCCACCTTGCCCCCATTTCTGGGCATGCTGGCTTTAGAACAGGCATAGCTCACATGAGCATTTCCAAGTGCTGCTTCCTGTTTCCCTAGAAACCAAATATGTCTAATTATGCAAAATTCCCGAGTTCAACTCCTGTCGTACATATTCTTTTTTTTTTTTTAATTAAGATACAGCATGTCAGCCAGGCAAATGTTATCTGAATACAATACTTAATATTTCACCTCGTAGCCTAAAAACTAGAAGGACTGGTTTCTATTACTATATGACTATTTCACTTTCTTTTCCTGCCTTGCCCCGTGAGTCTCATTCCTACTCAGTTCACAGCCCTGGACCAGTCTTACAGATGACATAGGTTGCATGAGCATCTGCAAGATGAATGAGTAAATAGGTACTGATGCTCTTCAGGGAAGCCACCATCTCCTGCCAGTTTTACTGCTTTAAGGAGTTGGTGAGAAAGGGTAGAAGAATTCATTTGGCAACTGTAGTAACAGTTGAAAAATAGTCCCTAAAGAGTCTCCTAACAGCCCTTTACAATGGGAATCACCAGCCTTGAGAATGTGCATGAAGGGTCTTCCCATCACCTATTGTTTTTATGGCTCATTGACAAATCCTTAGTGTTGCAGCCCATACCTCCTATAAAGGCTCTTCATCCTACATAAACTTTTTAAAAGAGTTGAGACTTAACATTAAAGACAAACTTCCTAAGAAACACTGCTAGTTGGGGGAATTCAAAGCTAGAGCCTTTCCCCACTATGACCCGTATGAAGCCCCTGAGTGGTGGATACACCTGGGTGCAGGTAGGCCTTGGAAAGCGCCAACTGCTGCCCCCCCAAAAAAATATCTAGGTGGCAAGACATCACCATAGTGGTCATCCCAGACCACAAGATCAAGTGCTAGGACTTGGAGCTTCTATGGCATGCCACCCAGACACAACAGCATTCCCCGAGTCCCCAGTCCTGCCTGGCCTCCCCTGTCTGTGCTCCTTGAGTCTCCTGTCCTGAGCGAGCCTTTGAGAGAGGTGGGTAAAAAGAGGAAAATTGGACACCTGGGCCCACACAGAGGGACAGCACCAGTTCCAGAGGACCAGAAAGGGTCATATCCACAATTATGACCTGAGACAGGCCTTTCCAAGGCCTTGGAAATCTTCTCTAGGATTTGAGAGAGAAGACCAAACAGGACAGCTGAAAGAGACTCAAAGAATGTTGTTCAATCCTACAGCAATCACGGTGTTTCAGACAAGCAGGCAGAACCCTCTCCAGTCTGGGACTGGGCACAGCAAGGGTGGCAGCCCAGGATAGTGGCCAGCCCACCCCAGGCCATGCTCCTGAAGCTCAGTTGTAGCAGAGATAATCGATGAGCCTGGGAGGGATGTTCAACTTTGCTATTTTCTCCAGTCCTCGAACACCGGTGGCCTTCCTTAAGCTCACTCTGCAGAGTTGTGACAAGGTCAGAGGTGTCTCTGGAAAAGGGAATGAGGAAGTATAGGAGGTTAGTTTCAGCAAGGAGCCTAACGTCCTTCAACCTAAAAGACACTAAGGCAGAATTGGAAAAGCCTCCCTGTCCCCTGGAATTAGAACGTGCCTGCATGCCTCCTCAGCAGAGTTAGCAGAGAGGATGGCCAAGGACTCAAGGAAAGAAGACCAGGAAACAGAATGCAGGGCCCCTGGGGTTTCATTTTGTGGTTTTGGAGCTTTGAGCAGGGTGTTTGTTTTTGTTTTTCTGAACCACTGTGAACATTCTCCACACAGATTTGTCAGCGAAGAACTAATTGGTAGCTGTAGTCCCATTTGTCAAATAGCCAGACAAATGATGCACAGCTTCAGGGTTTATTCTGGGGCATGTGCTAATGGCTGGCAGCACTGCTCTAGGCTCCAGGTCCCAGGCCCTCTTTCCCCAGTGATGCCATGGGCCACAAAAAACATGGGAAGAACTGGTGTGCCTGCACAAAACAGCTGCTGCTGATGGAGTACTCTAATGACATCCCAGAGGCAAAGAACAGGAGCTCAGGACTAACTACTAAGTTCTAAATGGGAGCTCAGGGAGAACTGGCAGACTAGCCTAAGGCCAAGGGTGGAGGTAAGGGTGCCTGTAGGTGGGGCTCACTTTCGTAGTACTCAAAGCACTTGGCTGGGGCGCTGCTGCTCCACGTGTAGTCCGAAGGCTTCTTCCCACGGTTGTCCCGGGCATAGATGTTGCCTCCAAACTGGATGAGCATCTCGATGAGGTCCACATTCTTCACCTTGGCAGCATGGTGAAGGGCCGTCTCATGAAGTTTTGCTGCATTCACATTGGCTCCTGGAGGTCCAGCACAGAGAAAATGTCAAAGGAGAGAACTTGAAGCCAAGAGAAAACTAGCTGGTACACGTGGCACCACGTGCCAAGCAATCCCCACCCAGAAAGCAAAATCAAGGCAGACTCCTCCGTGGCTCTTCAAAGATGCTTTTCAAACTCCAAGGGTAAAATTACTTTTTTTTCTCCTATGAGAAGGCAACAATAATAAGTAAAAATAACTGGAAATAGAACCAAAAAGAAGAAAAAACAACAGGCTTTCTTGTGAGTCAACTGTCAGTTCTGATGCAATATGCCCTCAGAGGGCAACAGATGTCTGGAATCTCAGCTGAGCCATCCAAGTATTCTTGTGTCCTGAAGAAGTCACAGTGCTCCCTCCTGGCACGGGCACACCAGGCTCAAATATATAGATCCCCTAGCATCAATAAGTAATCCCTCTAAGTGACAAATTCAAGCCACAATCATAAAATTATAAAATATGGCAGCAGTATGCACTCAAAAAGTATTGAAACATCCTGCTTTCTGATTTAAAATATTTTTAACATCCTAATGAAATTTAAGAACTGTGTTCATGCTGCTAAGAATACAGCAAGCACTCCAATGGGATAGAACAAGAGATGAACACTTTTCCCATTTCTCACAGTCAAAATTCACAGCCAAAATTCAGAGCTCAGGTCAGGAAAAATATCCGTCAATCAAGAAAAAGGCTAGACTAGTGAATTTTTTCCTCCCCAGCATTGGGAATTGAACCCAGGGCCTCATGATTTTTAGGCAAGCCCTCTACTAATAAGCTACATTCCCAGCTCCCCACCCCCACTACACCTTTTTTTTTCATTTTAGTCTGAGATAGGTTCTTACTAATTGTCCAGGCTGCCCTCCAACTTGTAATGCTCCTCCCTTAGCCTCCCAAGCAGCTGGAATTCAGCATGCATCACCACACCTGGTTCAGATGACCTATATACTTAGATTGGCACAAATGAATTACAAAAAAGTATATAAAAAAGTAAAAATTAAAGAAAGATTCCCCCTATATTCAACCACTATGTCACATTAGGGATTTTCTTCCAATGCTTGCTTATAAGAATAAATACCCTGTACAATCATAACTCAAATGTAAATTTTAATGCTAAATGCACACTAAAATGTCCTCAGTATAAGGTCTATAGTATCTAAAGTGTAGGTAGCTTCTCTCCTGTTTTAATTCTGTCAATATTCTTGCCAGCTGGGAAGGAAAGCAATTGTCTCTATTTAACAACGGAGAAAGAGGCACAAGAGAAGCAAAACTATACTCCCAAGGTCAGAGAGGAAACTGATGCTTGGAAAGAACCTAAAAATGATCTCTGCCTGCCATGCTATTTGCCACAGTGACTCCACAGATGAGGCCCAGGTGAAGACTCTTCTAAAGCAGCCTTCCCAAGATATACATTGGGGTTTGTGTTGTTTGGTTTTTGTTTTTCTGCACTGGGGATTGAACCCAGGGGCGCTTAATCCTCAGCCCTTCTTTCTTTTAATTTTGAGACAGTATCTCACTAAATTGCTAAGGGCTTTACTAAGTTGCTGATGCTGCCCTCAAACTTGCCTCAGCCTCCCAATTCACTGGGATTACAGCTGGGTGCCACCACACCCAGCACAATGGGATCTTTCTAAAACGTGCACCTGGCATCATGTGACTGGGTGTTAAAGGAAGAAAGATGAATAAATGAGGAAAGAAGCTGGAAGCCTCAGTGGCTGTTAGAAACACCAACCCAGATGTGCACACAGCAATATGGAATTTGTCTTGAAAACACAGTGCTGGATGGAAAAAGAGACATATATAGCCCCATAGCATTTATGTCCATTAAAGATAAGTACCGCAACTGATAATGTGTATCCTACAAACACACAAAGAGAGAAAACATATATGGATACTCATGGAGGGACAGGGACGGAGGAAAGAAAGAGGAAGGCAGAGAGGAAGGGAAGGAGAGGTTCTGAACAAAGTGACTCTGTGCAGCGCAATAATGATAGCATGCCTTGAACTGAGTAGTATGAGACAGAAACAGAGAACAGGGATGCCGGCAAAACAACCGGTTTCATGTGGGCAACTCTCAGCGTCATGCTTCAGAGAAAGGGGTCATTACCAAAGTCCTGACTTCAAAGCGAAATAGGATCAAAGTGGATTCAGAGTAAGAACCACAGCCGGCAAAGTGAAGGGACTAACACACCCTAGCATGCCAGGAGCCGGCACAATTCTGGAACATAAACACAAATAGCTCAATGCAAGCTTTCTGCCACGATAGACGGGAAAAAAATCATGATGAGGACTGGCTGAGAAGGTAGAAACAAAACAGTCCTCCTTTAGCAACTTCAAATGCTTCCAGCAGAGTTAAATATTTACTGGCAGTGCTAAGATCAAAAAATGACATCCCCAAAATAACTGGACTTTCACCCTCACCATTCCTCCTCCTTTGCAAATAGAATCTAGTTCCTTGACTTGGTTGCACTGCTTAACGGAGAACAAAAAGTATATCTGTCTCGGTATCCACCCAGTGCGACGTGGCAGCTCCACAGCTCGGCTTGCTCAGGATGGCGCTGAAATCACAGTGGAAGTGCTGCATGTTCTTCTAGAGGCTTGGAACATGGCTTTCCTTAGATGTTCCAGGGAAAACCAACCCCAACAGTTCAGAATCATACTTTAAGACGATGCAATTTTGAGTATGTAGCAGTATGCTACTGCTTCTTTCTACTTTTCTGTGAGTTTGAAATGCTCCACAATGAAAAACTAGTTTTTGAGGAAAAAAATTATAATAATCCATTTGATCCAAGAAAGGCTGTTAAAGGAGACCATCTGAGAAAATCAGAATGGCCACAGAGGATCACACACAGAGTTGACTGTGTGAGTATCAGCAAGCATTGAGCTAGCACTGAACACTGCAGAGGCTTCCCCAAACCCTGGTCATCTGCAATTTCCCAGGAATATGGAAACTCCCTTTAAAAACTACAGGGTAAGGGCTAGGGATGTAGCTCAGTTGGTAAAGTGCTTGCCTCCCATGCACAAGGCCCTGGGTTCAATCCCCAGCACCACAAAAAAAAAACTAGTAGGTAACCTTTTTTAAGGCTATAGTGGACATTATGGTTGTCCCCTCTTCCTTTCCAACTCTCCTCCACTGTGGCCACTTGGCAACATGAAGTGCGGGTACCGGGGTGGAGTGAGAGGACCCACCTAACCTCAGCTGCAGGTGTGAGTGCTCACTGGTTTTATCACCTACCGCTACCACAGTAATTAGTTCAGGTGATCTGGACTAGAGCCAATTAGATTTTGGACAAGTTGGGGACAAAGGGATCAGTTCGGGTTTGGACATGGGATCCAGTTTGGGCCAATGGAACACTAGGGGAGGATGCCAGAGACATCTGGAAAGGAGACTTCTCACTCTTCTGAAAAAGCTACCAGAGCTTTAAAAAGTACAGTGTTTAGATATGAAGCCTGAATCTACTACAGCCACCTGACTACTACCCCAGGATATAGCTAATACGTAGGGAAACAGAATTGCAAAACTCAGAGAAATGGAGGTCTTGGTGATAATGTTAAACCACCAAGTCAAAGTGACCCTAGACCTGCTCTTCTTCTCATCCTTTAAGTCCCCTGAGCCAAGAAGTACCCTTTATCATTTCTCCAGTTGTTCCTTGTTTTCTGATTACAGCCAGCTTTCCCTATCCATGGGTTCTACATTCATGGATTTAACCAACCAAGAATCAAAAATATTCAGAAAAAAATGATTGTATCTGTACTGAACATGTAGACTTTTCCCCACCTTCGAAAAAGAGTGAGCCTTTCAGACACGTTGGTAATGGTTGGATTACAAATGCTCCATTCTCTTAAGACTGCAGACTCTACGTCCCATTTTTCTCTTGTCTCTTTTGGATTCAGACAACAATGCTATCAGGCAGCAACTGTGCATGATTGCCTGTGTCCTCTAAAAATAGTCTTTTGCATTTGATGAGCACCAACCACACACCAAGCACTGTGGAGACATGATTAAGACTCCTCCCAATAACCCTGCAAAATAGGTTTTGTTTTTCCAGTTTTATAGAAACGGAGGCCAAGTTCTCCCTGGCAAGTATGAGAGCCAGCTTCAAACCCTGATCTGTTTGACGCTGCTGCACAGCTCTTTGCCAGACGCAGCACAGCTAAGCCATTCATGCAGGTAAATACTAGCTCAGATAAGCCACCCACGTGGGTAAATACCAGTTCAGGTGATTAACTACGTACGCACCTGCATTGAGAAGCACTTTGACACAGTCCAGGTGCTCCCGCGCACAGGCAACGTGCAGAGGGGTCCCAAAATGGCAATCATGCGCTTCCAGATTGGCCCCAACGTCAATAAGAAGCCTCACACATTCAGAACTCCCTTGGAATAAATGGAAACATCCATGAGTATGTGCATTGGAAATAATAAGCATGGCAAACATCAAATGGAACAGATGGCCCTGTGGCTGCGGGCATCCCAATCCTGCCTCCTGGCTGAACTCACTCAGCCTTTGCCACTATTCAGGTAGCCCTGCTTCTTTCTGGCTCCTCTTTCTGTCTCCAATGCAGGTTTGGATCAAGGGCCCTCTGCTCTCCTCTCCTGGCACATCTGCCCCAGACTGCATCTTCACTTTTCATATAATTACCTCTCCATTGTTGGTAGCTACCCAGTTTCCACCTCTAGCCCTGAAACACAACTCCACAGCTACAACTGTGCTGGCCAGGCTCACCTGGATGCTGTGACCACCATACAGTCCTGTCTCTCCCCTTCCCAGGGGTCCTGCTCCTGGCCAATCCCTTTCAGCCCGCAGAATGGCTCCTAGCTCAAACTTGAGCCATATTTGACCCCATGCAGCTCTCTGTCACACCAAGTCCTATTAATTCTTCCCCAAAACCTTTTAAATAAATCCATCCCTTGCCACATTCCTACTCTAGGCTGTGAACGCTTTGCACTGGATCAACTCACCACTCATGCATGCCTCATGCAGTGGGGACGCTGTGTACAGTGGGGGATTGACCTTTGCCCCATAAGACAGCAAGAGCTTCACACACTCAATGCTGCCAGAGGCACAGGCATCGCAGAGAGGGGTGCTGCCGTCGATGTTTCGAGCATCCACCTCAGGGGGAATTAGAAACAAGTGTCAGAGGACACAGCAAACATGTGCAACTTCTTTCTCATCTTGATGTGCACTCATCTTTGCAAAGACATGTCTTAGAAGCTGGCTTGCTATTATGTACCAAGGCATCAGCCAGACAAAGAAGTTCAAAGATAAAGAGATGCTGTTGGAGGAGGGAGTGCCCATCAGCATCCCAAGCACAGAAGTCCTCCCACTGGAGGTTCTTTTCTCCTGGGGCAGGAGAGACCTCTGCCTCACCGCTATCTCAAATAACTAATAAGCACGAAGCAGGAAAGTAGAGGCTGAAGTTGCCAGCTGGGGGGGAGGCAGGATATAAAAATGGGTTTTAGCTGAAACCTCCACTAAAAGGAGGCCCAAGACTGCTTAACATGCCTCCTCTAGTACGAAAATCATGGGCCAGCAAAAGGCAACTCCCTAAATTGGCAAATTCTACTTATAATTTGTCCAAATTCAGCTTCTATGTGCTGAAACTTGTTCATTGCAAGCTTCTGGGAAAAGTAGATGGTACATCACCTGCACTTCTTTCTACCCCAACCCCGCCCCCCCAAACTCTGAGACCAGAGCCCCACATTCCTTATTAGTCCACTCAGTGGGGGAGGGGGAAGGAACCTGCCAGCTCCCCAGAGCCAGCAGCTAAACAGCCAGGAATTCTGCCAACTGGAAAACGCTGGCGCCTTCAAACCAGCCATCGAGTGAGTACTTACACTAGGGAAGGCACCAAATCAGAATTTTGGTTTTGTTCCTTTTTTTCCTTCCCTCTACCTCCAGAGAGCCAGCCTCTCTAACCAGTCATTCTGAACCCTGGAACCCTGCTCTGAGCCCAGGCCCCCATTCCTCTCCCAGAGCAGAGCACCCCCACCAACAAACTTTGCTAAAACCCCTCAGAGCAAGATCACTTCTTGGCACTCTGTCCTCAGTGCACAGCACACTTGCTGTGCCTCCCTCCTCCCGAACTTCCAAGCACACCCTGTCGGGTCTTCAGGCCTTTCCTTCCCAGCCTGCCTCAAAGTGTCCTGCATATCGCTGCTTTCCCATCACATAAGGCAAATCCCAAGTCATGTCTTTCCCTCCCTCCAGAGGTCTCCCTAGTCGGCTGCATCTATTCCTGCAGCTGCAGCCCAGAGCCACTCACCTGGGCCCCAGCTGCCAGCAGCAGCTGCACGCACTGCGCCTGGCCCTGCAGACTGGCCGCGTGCAGTGGCGTGATGGAGTCCACCGTGACCTGGTTGACGCAGGCGCCGCTTTCAATCAGCTGCTGCAGCTGCAGGCTCTCGCCCCGCTGGGCTGCCTCGTGCACCGGGGTGCGCTCCACCCAGAAACCTGGAGAGGAAATGAAGCTAGCGCTAAGACCCTGACACTTGATCCCTGACAATAAACACACAAAGGACTCCGGGGACCCCCTGACACCCCAGGCAGGATACCTGATCACATAATTGGTCTCAGGACTCTAGTTAAAATTCTTGAGCGATCCCCACTGCCTGGAGGGTGGAGTCCAAACTCCTTGGTGAGGCATATAAGGAAGTCAGTGGACCTCGCCCATCTCTGTGATCCCATCTCCCTGGAGTAGAGCCCAGGTGGCATGCATGCATAGCTCCTGCCTAACGTCCATTCAGCAGCTCATCAAGATGGAATTAGTACCCTCTGCTACCATATTCAAAGACAAATAAGATGCAGCAATAGGTAGTGCAGAGTCAGGAGCAAAGAAAATGTAGAAACAATCCAAATCATGGTCACCATGGTAGTGGAAGAACCTTTCAAGTAAGGAGAACTCAGACTTAGACTCTCCCAAGTTCCCAGGGACAGGCAGGGGAAGCATTACAGAGGACGGGAAGCTGTGGTTATCCAGGTCAAGTTTTGTTTATCCATCTCTGTGTTCCTAGCACTTGGCATGGCCTATGTCTCAAAGAAGATGTCCATGTCCACCTGCTTGGTGAAGACTGCATGAACGAATGAATGAATCTAACTGAATTACTAAAATGAATTACTAATAAACATTTTAAATGAAATTTTAGCTTTTAAAAGAAAATCTAATTTTTTTTTTTTTTTTTTTTTTTTTTTTTTTTTTTTTTTTTTTTTAGCTGTAGTTGGACACATCACCTTTATTCCGCTTGTTTTTTTTTTTTTATTTTATGTGGTGCTGAGGATCGAACCCAGGGTCTCGCACCCAGTGCGAATGGTGCGCTCTACAGCTGAGCCATAACCCCAGCCCTTGTTTCTTTATATGACTTCTCTTTAGAGGAAATGCAACTATTGGTAACCATACTTTCTAGCAAATAAACTTCAGCTGCCCCTGCTGAAGTGGCAACAATTGAGAACAGAGATAAGAAGCAGCATGATAAGAAAAAAAGGAAAGAAAAGCAGAAAGAGAGAAAAGAAAAAAATTTCTCTCCATTAAAGGGCATAGTCAACAAAGTGAAAAGGCAACCCATGAAATGGATAAAATATCTGCAAATCACATATCTGATAAGGGGTTAAAATCCAGAATATATAAAGAACTTCTACAACTGAACAACCAAAAAGCAAATAATCCATCTGAAAAGTGAGCAAAGGATTTGAAGAGATATTTATTCAAAGAAGACGTAAAAATGTCCAACAAGCATATGAAAATAATCATTAAAGAAATGCAAATCAAAAACCACAATGAGATATGTTCTCATATCCATTAGGATGACTATATCAAAAACAAAAATCAAAAAATCAAAGCTAAGTGTTGGCAAGGATGTAGAGAAAATGGAACCTCGGTGTGCCATTGGTGGGAATGCAAAATGATATAACCCTGTGAAAAATAATTGACAATTCCCCGAAAAGTTAAACACAGAATACCACGAGGTCCAGCAATTACACTTCCTGGTATATACTCAAAAGAACTGAAAGCAGAGATCTGAGATACTGGCACATCCATGTTTATATCATCATCATTCACAGTAGTTAAAATATAGATGTAACCTTAGTGTCCATCAAAAGATGAATGGACAAGCAAAATGTGGTGTGCACATACAATGGAATATTATTCAGCTTCACAAAGGAAGGAAATTCTGACACATGCTACAACATGGATAAACCTTGAAGGCATTCAGTGAAATAAAACAGTCATAAAAAGACAGATGCTGATGTTTTCATTTGCACAAGGCCTCTAAAACAGCCAAAATTAAAGAGTCAGAAAGTAGAATGATGGAAGATTAGTGTTTAAAGGGTCATCCAGTGAGTTTTATAAGATGAAAAGAGTCCTGAGTGGGGGGTGGTGATGATTATACAATATGCGACTGTGTTTATGGCACGGAATTGTATACTTAAAAATGGCTATAATGGTAAATTTTATGTCTTATATTCTTTACCACTATTAATTTAAAAAAATTAAAAGAGTAGCAAAAAGATGGAGGAGGACCTGGGGCATAGTGAGGGCAGTCGCATACTGATGGCTCTCTGCAGGAGACAGCTCTACAATGGGAGTAGGAGGGGGTGCTTGCTGCCTGGGGTGATATCCCCAAGCCACTGGATGGCCCTTCTAGGGTTGTAATGCAAGGGAGAGGGAGCAACTCCCTTCATGAAGACCAGCAGCCAGCAATGCAGAGATGACATCCCAGGGACAGTCCTGGGACAAGGTAACCTTAAATCTATCCCTGAAGAGTAAGCACAAGAAATGTGGCTAACTAATAGACTGACTGGCCAGACCTGACCACAGCCTGGAGTCTGGACCCTGGTGTGACAGGATGTTCCCTCCTCCCAGCACTATCTCCCTCAGGGAGTGACACCTTGGAAACTTGAGACCCTGCACAGTTCTGGCAAGTTCTCTCTGGGGCTAGATTCCTCCCCTAAATCCCTCTCAGTCACAAGCTCCCTCTCACCCCTCTCCCTCTAACACAGCTAAATCACAAGTTGGTCATGTGGGCCCTGCTCACAATCCTCCAGTGGCTCCTTTCTCCAGCGTAGGACCTGCTTGCTGCTGTGACACAATCCTGGCAGTTTCCCTCCCCGCCCTACTCTTCTCCAACTGAGACAGAAATTTGGGGTTAAAGGAAGATACTGAGTCTCAACTGAAGTGCCCATTGAAATGCAGGAAACACCTAGGAACCACTGAGATGCAGAAAGCAACCAGGAACAATGGCAACCCCCCAGCGACTTGCCCACCGCCTGTGCCCCACCTTGCCCTCCCACAAGAGGGTGGTGCACAAGTACAGGAAAAACTGGCTAAGAATTGTGTCAATCCACCTTGGCTTCACCTCTAGTCGAGACCCCAGCAACTGTCCCACTCTAAATATTGAGACCCCCACACCACCTTTCTACCTCAAGTGTGTATTTCTTGCTTTACCCCAAAGGTGTTTCTCTTGAGGTAGCCTCCCTTCTCCCTTGAATACTCCATCTACTTGCCTAAATAAACATCATTCTGTGCCTTTGACTGGCATGTGCTGAAATTCTTTGCCATCAAAGAATTCCGCTTGTCCAGAGCCACATTCCCCCTTCACTCCCGGAATTCTGCATGATCCTTCTCGGAGGCTTGTCCTCTCCAGTGACACAATATCTCTGAACTCCTTCAGGTTCCGAGTGTCACACAGTGTCAGGCCTCTGTGGTGCTGTTCTTCCGCTGCCTGAATTGCCCTCCCTCAGTCCCCCAGGCCCCAGGTCCACCTTCTTTCCAGCCTAGTGACTAAATTCCTTCTCTACCACTAAGGCCCAGAGGAATGTCTGCACTTTCAAGAAGCCTCAGGAGCAGCGGGTCGTTCACCCACCCTTGCCCTTCATCTCTGTACAAATAGCTAATTCACATTCTTCCCTTCCTGCCTAAGGCAGTCCTTGGGCACCTTGGAGATGGGATCATGGCAGATTGGTGTCCAGCTCCAGCACAGACCTGACACACAAGAATCTGAATGAATAAATATTCCCCAGAAGCATCTTTTACTTGCTGGGCTGAGCTTTTTATCCCTGCAGCTAGTTCTATCCCTGTTCAGCCAAACCACAAACAACTTCCAGCCCCTTACAAATCTACCCAATACCAGACAATAACCTGAGACAACAGGGTTGTACTTGCAGACTCTGGCCAGCCAGCCATACTCAGGAACTGGTGCGTCAATTAAAGAAGAATTTGTGTTGTAACAGGAGAGGAGGCTGTAGCCAGGGCAGGGTGTGATCCAGCTCGGACTGCTGGATTCCAGTTGATTCCTGCCTCTCCCCTTCACTGCAGTTCAGAGTCACGGAGATGCTTACATTGTTCCTCAGGTCACCTGTTGCTTGTAGCCCCACCCCCACCCCCAAAGAATGGCTAAGCAAAAATCTTTGCCTTGAACCTAGAAAGTTCCATGAATGTCATCTACATATCTACTGCCAGATAACTGCTTAAATTCTCACATCTGAGAGTCAGGCCCAGGACCAAGCCTGACCCTCCAGATTGAAAAGCCCTAGCTGAGGACATCAGGCTGCTCAGTCTGCCCTTGGGGAGCTGATGGGTACAGTGACCAGACCCAGGAATCACCCACTGGTGAATTCAGATCAGTCTCTGTCACTAACAACTGGCCCTGTAACCTTGGGCAACCCATTCTTCTCTCAAAGCCTCTGTCTCATCCCTTATAAAATGGAAATATTAATGCCCAGATCACAGGGTGGCCGAGACTGAATGGACTAACACCTGGACATTATTTTATACAGTGCTTAGCCAACTGAAACCACTCAGCAAGTGACAGGTGCTGCGATTATTGAGGAACCCTTATTATCATTATTACTATTTCTGAGTCCTGCTTGGAGCTTGTGTGCCAGTTCTCTCTGTCTTTGTTCCATAACAAGCCCCACCTTGTACTGAGTCCCAGTAACTCAATCCTTGTTGGATCCCCAGCAGGCAACTGACTGAGTCCCTGACCAGTTTACCTGCTCAGTTCCCACCTACTCAGTTTCCGGGTCCCCTGAGATCCAGCCCTGAATCTTTTAAAAGTGATTTTGCTGGGGCCAGCTCCCCAGATCCCACTGCTAAATAACTAGGAATTCTGCTGACCAGACAGCCAGGAAATGAGTATTTATACCAGGAAAAAGAGCAAATCAGAGTTTTATTTCTGCTTCTTTTTCTTCGCCCATCCACACAGAGAGCCAGTTTGCCGGCACCTTGTTGAGTCATTCTGGAGCATAGAGTCCTACTCTTTGAGCCCAATCAGTAACTACTCAGCCCAGGCCAAGTCTACCCTTCCAGAAAGAGCCCTACAAGCAAATTCTCCAGAGATCATCTTCTATGATGTTCTGTCTGTGCCCACTCTGGTAGACCTAACTTGACCATGACCATGATCCAAGCCACTCTTCTCCCAGCTCAGCCTCTTCATGATCAAGAGACCCAAGGACACCTTCAACAGAAAGCTGATCCAGCACTATGGTTTTGAATTGTTTTCAAATATCCAAGATGCACTGTTAAATGTTGTACAGGCTGGGAATCTTGTTCAAAATAAGTCACTAAAGGAAATCTGGGGTCCCAGCAAAAGAACAGTCATTTCAGAACTGAACACAATAAGAGGGTTCTAGTATAAGCCTTCCCCCCACACACAAAAAAAAAGTTCTTGAAATAATGAGGGCTCTCCCACATGCCCCATCAATAAATGTAGTTAGATGTAGTTAGATGGAAGTGGACCCCTAAATGCTGGGAAACCACCACAGAAGCACCAAGATTAAGCACCAGAAACTGCAGGGGATGGCTTTCTGAAAGGTCTCAATTGGCTCATCTTTAGCTCTCAGAGAGAAGTCTGGTATGCTGCAGACATCTAAGTGCTGCAGTGCTGCAGACATCTAAGATCTGTGCACATAAAGACAACTGTTAGGGGCTGGGGAGGTAGCTCAGTTGGTAGTGTTTGCCTAGCATGCATAGGCCCTGGGTTCAATCCTCGACACCACCAAAAACTGTTATAGCTGAGAGGACCTCTGACATCTTTTAGGACTGACACTCCCAGGAAAGGACTGCAAGCACACCATCCTTTCATTGCCACATGCTCCCCAAACTGCAGTACAACAACCATAAAGGAATACAAGTGCAGGTGGGGAGACCAGCCTCTCTGTCTTCATGGATTTAGCCCTGGGCATTTATGGGTTTATCCTCTCTCCCCAGAGCTCAAGGATGACAACACCAACATGGAAGAATCATTGTGGTAACTAAAGACAATATGTGTGCTGAGAAGTAGGTGCTTAATAGTGTTGATCATCATCACCAAACTTTAATCATGCAGTCTGCATTTAAACTTTAACAGACCAGAAATTAGCAGGCACCTTGATTTCCAACGGGGAATTGAACCTAGGGTGCTCTACCACTGGGTTACATCCCCAGTCTTTTTCAATTTCTATTTTGAGACAAGATCTTGCTAAGTTGCCCAGGCTAGGCTTGAACTTGTGACCTTCCTGCCTCAACCTCCTGAGTAATTGGGATTACAAGTATGCACCCAGCTGTCTTTTGTTGCTTTTAAAGATGTTTTCAACCGTGTCTTTTAAAGTGTTTTAATTATGATTCCTAAAATAATCTTTTGTCAGTAGTCTTAAGATCAAATGACCTACAGTATGGTTTTAGGATGTGTTTGATGAGGTTAAAAATATTAAATATTTTTACCTTCTTGGAGAAAACAGTCTAAACTGAATAAGAGTGGGAAAAAGAAAGTGAAACACAGTAAATGAAAGTGAAAGACAAAGAGAAAGGAAGTAAAAATAGATGGCCTAATGAATAAAAGCCAGAAGGAAGGAAAGAAGTTCTCTGCTTAACGGAAAAGGAGCCTTCTACAAAGACCTTGAGGAAAATCCACCTTATTAGACACCTTCATCTCCAAACCTCGCTTTCCTCTCCTCCTCACTCACCCATCCAGCAGCCTGCTACCTCTACTTCCCTTGCCTTTGGCCACCCCAAGACACTTACCAAGAGAGGTTCCCTGTCCCTTGGTTCCCAAGACCCAACAAGGCACACTGAGCCTGGGTTTTGCCTTAGAAAGACCCGAGCTCTGGTCCTAAAGGGAAGCTATTCATTTTAAATCCACTAAAGCCTCAGATTTCTTCTGACTGGCGATATAGTTTCACAGGACCATTTTATGAAGAAAATAAAATAATGATTTACATTATTTTGCCCATGAGAGTGCTCAGTGTTTGTAACGTACTATTATTTCCTTTGATACCTTTTTTGGCCCTAAATAAGTTTTTCTGGCTGTTTGTTAACAAGTTTTCTTTTGAATTCCTATTTTAGAATAAACTTCCTGCTCAGGAGTGGCGTTGTCGCTGGGTGGAAGAGCCCTTGCCTCCCACATGCGAGGCACTGCATTTGATCCTCAGCACCACATAAAAATAAATAAACAAATAAAGATATATTATGTCCATGTATAACTAAAAAATATTAAAAAAAAAAAAAAGAATAAACTTCCTGCTCAAAGTGTGTCTCTCCTCCTTAGAAAATGCCCTGGATTTCTGCCTTATTGAATTCTTTTTTCTCCCCGCCCCCCCCCCAGAAGTAAAGAATGTTAGAATTAGATCCCCAAAGATCTCATTCCATTGAGGGCGAAAGAGAAGGTATAAATCCACATAAGCAAAGAAAAATCAAGCAAGTTGGGAGACAAAAGCTGTGGGATGAGTTTGAGAAAATTTGGGAAACTGGACAGCAGACATGTGACAATACCTAAATTCTTTGTGCTTATTGAAAGGCCAAAGTGTAAGACTGTAATCAATACCTCTGTGAGATGTTATATTAAAAATATATAACCTCCCCCAAAATATTTTGCAACAACCAGGCACTGTGGCACAAGCCTATAATCCCAGCAACTTAGGAGGCTGAGGCAGGAGAATCACAAGTTCATGGCCTGTCTCAGGAACTTAGGGAGCTCCTGTCTGAAAATTAATAAAAAGGACTTGGTATGTGACTCAGTGGTAAATCACCCCTGGATTCAATCTTAAGAACAAAAATAAAGTAAATAAAATTATATAACAATAAATTCCTCTATTATGTATAATGTACTCATAAAAATTTTTTTTTAAATGAAAAATCTAAATGTTTGGTTAGAGTACACCACAGATCAGAGAATTTGAGGTCACAATGCTTAAGTGGGTTAAAGCTCCTATGGTGTCCTCCACCTCCACTGGGACAGCAATATTGTTTTGTATCCAACACATTCAGCTTACTCCTTAGGGTTGGTCATTAAAAAGTCAGCAAAATGTGTTTTTAGAGAAATATACTGAATTAAAATATGACACTGTCAAAAACAGCCATGAGTCCAGGGGTTTAGAAATCAGTTAACTAAGAACATACCTTTCTTCTACTGATAAATCCTTTAACTATGCAGAAAACATGCTTGAAGTGCCACCATACTATTTTGAATCCTCTACAAAATAAAATGTGTATTTAAATAGGCTTTGCAAGGAAGGAGAGGAGAAAAGGAGGAGTACTGGAAACTGAATTATAGCAAATCATATTCCATGCTTTTATAATTTTGTCTAAATGAATTTAAATGTTATGTATAACTAAAAAGAACCAATAAAAATACATGGCATAAAAATAAACAAATAAATAAGTTTCAGTGGTTAGCTGTTCACAGCATATTCAATTGAACCAATCAAACACAGATCACGCTGTCAGGGTCAAAGTCTTAAGCCTGCCTACAATGAAATGCCAAGAAAAAACAAAAGTTTTATTAAATGCTTTGACTATTTTGAAGGGGGTTGTTTCTCAAAAACAAATAATATCTGTGCCTTGCTATCTCTGCAATTTCTTTTTCAAATAAATTTACCCTTATGACTTTCAGCTTTCATTTGCATTAGTTTTTACAAGCGTAAAAGTATTTTGGGGCATTTTAAGGCTTTTTTTTTCTTTTCAGGCTTCAAAGTACTTTCTGCGTTTATTTCATTTGCCATAATACTACTTCATTTAAAAAAAAAAAAAGGTTTTCTTCCCCTTATCAATGTCCCTTTGCCTCTCTTCCATTTGAGTCTTGAGGGACCCAAATGACAGCGTGTATAACTGATACTCGCTTTATCACCGCGTGTGCTACGGGGTCCCTCATTCTAGAGTCAATTCCCTGCCACAGCCGGCCACGTCCATAGGATGCTTGTGACACTGAAACCACGGTCTCGAAGGCGGCTGGGAGGCGTTGAGGCTCCCACAGAAGGCTCATACGTACCAAGTTCTTCCCCTCACGTGTACAAGGACACCCCACCACCACCACCACACACCCCTCACCTTCCCCAATGTGCGCAAGGCTCCGGTGGGTTTGGGGTTCTGAAACCTCACACTTGGTGCGTCACACGGATGACCAGTCCTTCTTGGGTGAAGGTGCCGGACACATAGCGGAGACTGAGATGCTCAAGATCACCAGGACCCTGCTCTATTCGCGGCCCACCCACCAAACGCCCCTGACCACCAACTCCGAACAGAGCAGGTCACCCATCTCCGGAACGAATGCCATCAGATGCGCCTCTTGGGTCCCCTCTAACAGCTGCTCCCACAGTCCCCGCTCTTTCGCCAGCAGGCGATTTCTTCCTCGCGCCCGCGTCCTCCGTGCCACCCTGCTCATACCCACGTCGCCCAGGAAGCAGTTGTCAGCAGCCTGCGGCTCCATGCGGCTCACTGGCTGGGTGCCGGCACTTCGCGGCCCCGCGACTCCGGGCGCTGGGACCTGATCGCAGACCTGCCCTGCTGCGCCGGGCCACTGGGCGGAGCCAGCCTCGGAGCGGGGCGGTCAGCTGCCGGAGGTGGCAGCGCGCCGGGAGTTGTAGTTCCTACTGTGTTGACGCGATTCCCCACACGGTGGCCACCGCCTGATGCCAACCCTGAGTCCCCCTCCGCTAAGTGCCCCCGCGCTTTGCCAAACAACTGAGGTGTATACTTGCATGTGCGAAACATATCAGTGTGCAAAACACTCGTTCCCGTGTAAACGTTTGCCTGTGTGGAAATTTGTCCATGTGCAAACCGTATGAGTGTGCATGTGCAAAGCATGATCTGCGTGTTTACGTGCAAAACATGCATGGCGCGCAAAACGAGTGTCCATGTGAAAAATGTGTCCAGCTGCCAAAACTCACTCTGAGGCTTTGCACTGATCGCATTCGGTTCACTTTCACGTAACTCTTCCCTTCAGAACTCTTCCCTTTCTTTTGTGTTAGCCACAAAAAGACTGGGAGGATCGCAGATTTCACAAAGCAGCTCAGCACTTTATTCAGGAATAAAGTTTCACGCAGGAGAAGGGGATGCAGGGACGAAATGACGCCATGGTAGGACCCACTTTCCTGGTGGAAAAGGAGCCCCCCAACAAAGAAAGGGCCTGGGCTTAGATAGGTTATTCTCAGAGGTGGTCTACTGAGCATATCAATTTTCTTTGGGCACCCAAGAATTTGGAGTTAGTTCTATCAATGAGTGAAGGAGTCAGTGCTTAGGAATTTAGGGTTTGTTTTACTGGGGAAATTTCTGTAATTTATTGTACTGGACCTGATGGAGGACCTGGGGTCAGTGATTAGTATCTGGAAAGAATTTGTTCACAGGAGGATAATGCTTCGGTCTTTTCCCAGAGACTGTCTTTCCAGGTTTGATGGACACCTCTTCATCAGGGTTTGTTTTATCACGGGGGTGGAGGGGTGGAGGGGTGGGGGGATGGAGGGATGGAGGGATGGAGGGTTGGAGGGGTGGAGGGGTGGAGGGATGGAGGGATGGAGGGTTGGAGGGGTGGAGGGATGGAGGGATGGAGGGATGGAGGGATGGAGGGTTGGAGGG